TCTTTTCCTTTACTTAACCAGCCAGGCGATGCCTATTGAATGTAAGTGTCACAGCACAGTAAACTGATGTAATCATACACTGGTAGATGGTGAACACAGTAACCTTGATTACTGCCGCTGTACATTTTTTTGCTTTATAGATCATCTCTTAGGTTCATCAATTTAAAAAAAAAATTGTGGCACTTATGATGAAATGACATTAGTAACTTGAAAACAAAAGAAAACACAGTAATCTTAGCTCAGTAACAAATGTGCATTTTCACATTATATTCTGTGATCAAAGACTCAATTCACAAAGCTTTAACACAAGGTGGCTTCTTATTTGAGCCATGGGACTGTCATTTTCAAATCACAGTGGCGTTGACTGAAAATAAGTCTCTTTTTAAAACAAAAATCAGTACCCTTTTCTTGGCGTGTTAGCTTTGCAAATTGAGGTGTCATGATAATTAAGAAAATACTTCGGAAAAGGGTTAGTCCAATCATCACCGATGCTTTAGTATTATGCCATTGCTGATGGCTTGTAGGACCAACTGGTATCTGAATCACTTGGGAACTAAAATAGTAAATATTCCCCTCTACATCCTCTACACTCCTCAGTCCTTAAAGGGGGTTTTCTAGCCCTGAAACAGCCCCTCCCATTTGACTTAAGTGATGTCACGGCCGAACACCAACACTCAGTGCACCTGAACCTAGCCAAGCAGGGGAAGGACATCCCGGAAACCACCCAGGGCTACTGAAGTGCTTACGTTCCAGTCCACTTCATTCCAGCAGCTTCCTTATTATTTATTTATTTATTACAGGTATTTAAATAGCGCCGTCAATTTAAGCAGCACTTTACATATATATATTGTACATTACTGCATTACTCAGCCTCCTCCCTGCTGATCTCTGCAATTATGGCAGCTCCATAGAGCAGGGTTTCTCAACCAGGGTCCCATGGAGCCCTAGGGTTCCTCCAAAGGTTGCTAGGGGTTTCTTGAGCAATGAGCAATTTCAGCCTCTCAGATAAGTTCCCACTGACATCATTGATCTTTTTATCTATCTGTAAAGGGGTAATTCTTCCCAATGACCACAAGTGTAAAGACTCAATTCACAAAGCTTTAACACAAGGTGGCTTCTTATTTGAGCCATGGGACTGTCATTTTCAAATCACAGTGGAGTTGACTGAAAGTAAGTCTCTTTTTTTTTTGTGAATCAATACCTTTTTCTTGGTGTGTTAGCTTTGCAAATTGAGCATCATGTGTCATAATAATTAATAAAATATTTAGGAAAAGGGTTAGTCCAATCATCACCGATGCTTTAGTATTATGCCATTGCTGATGGCTTGTAGGACCATCTGGTATCTGAATCGCTTGGGAACTAAAATAGTAAATATTCCCCTCTACACCCTCTACACTCCTCAGTCCTTAAAAGGGGTTTCTCTATAGGCTTGACAAGGAGGTGTGCCCTAGCCCCAAAACGTGTGTCCACACCCCTCCCATTTGACGTAGTGATGTCACAGCCGAACACCAACACTCAGCGCACCCTAACCTAGACAAGCAGGGGAAGGACATCCCGGAAACCGGCCAGTGCTACTGAAAAGCTTACGTTCCAGTCCACTTCATACCAGCAGCTTCCTTATTATTTATTTATTTATTACAGGTATTTAAATAGCGCCATCAATTTAGGCAGCAATTTACATATATATATATTGTACATTACTGCATTACTCAGCCACCTCCCTGCTGATCTCTGCAATTATGGCAGCTCCATAGAGCAGGATTTCTCAACCAGGGTCCCATGGAGCCCTAGGGTTCCTCCAAAGGTTGCTAGGGGTTCCTTGAGCAATGAGCAATTTCAGCCTCTCAGATAAGTTCCCACTGACACCATTGATCTTTTTATCTATCTGTAAAGGGGTAATTCTTCCCAATGACCACAAGTGTAAAGACTCAATTCACAAAGCTTTAACACAAGGTGGCTTCTTATTTGAGCCATGGGACTGTCATTTTCAAATCACAGTGGAGTTGACTGAAAATAAGTCTCTTTTTTTTTTTTGTGAATCAGTACCCTTTTCTTGGTGTGTTAGCTTTGCAAATTGAGCATCATGTGTCATAATAATTAATAAAATACTTAGGAAAAGGGTTAGTCCAATCATCACCAATGCTTTAGTATTATGCCATTGCTGATGGCTTGTAGGACCATCTGGTATCTGAATCGCTTGGGAACTAAAATAGTAAATATTCCCCTCTACACCCTCTACACTCCTCGGTCCTTTAAAGGGAGGTTTTCTATGGGCTTGACAAGGAGGTGTGCCTAGCCCCAAAACGTGTGTCCACACCCCCTCCCATTTGACATAGTTAGGTCACAGCCGAACACCAACACTCAGCGCACCCTAACCTAGACAAGCAGGGGAAGGACATCTCGGAAACCATCCAGTGCTACTGAAGAGCTTACACTCCAGTCCACTTCATGCCAGCATCTTCCTTATTATTTATTACAGGTACTAATATAGCGCCGCCAATTTAAGCATCGCTTTACATATATATATATTGTACATTACTGCATTACTCAGCCACCTCCCTGCTGATCTCTGCAATTATGGCAGCTCCATAGAGCAGGGTTTCTCAACCAGGGTCCCATGGAGCCCTAGGGTTCCTCCAGAGGTTTCTAGGGGTTCCTTGAGCAATGAGCAATTTCTGCCTCTCAGATAAGCTCCCACTGACACCATTGATCTTTTTGTTTCTCTGTAAAGGGGTAATTCTTCCCAATGACCACAAGTGTAAGGAGCATTCTTCCCACTGACCACCACACCAATGTATTATAGGTTGTAGATATAGTCATTTCCTGCAGGGGTTCCCTGAGACCAGAAAGTTATTTCAAGGGTTCCTCTGTGATAAAAGAAAAAGATTGAGAAAGGCTGCCATAGAAGGTTCTAATCTAGATTTGTTGACATGCTGATTAACCCCTTCATTCAGTGAGTGCAACATGCTGTTTTTTAACCATTTGCTTTTACTAAACAGTCTACACTTAGATGCTGGCGCCCTCCTGTGTTTACTCTTAAAAGGGACATGTCAGAGCAAAGGTATAAGATTTGACATTTGTTATTAAAGGTTCAATATCTGCACCTGTGTTAATTTTACTTGCTTAACCAGATAATTGAGTTCATTTACATTAAAAAAAGAAAATAGAAAAAAAAAACAGATTCTGTTTACTTAGCAAAGTGATGTTTTTTTGCAGTCATTCAGGCTTGGTTGACACCTACTAATGTGATTAAGCATGGGCACATTTCCACACGTTTTTCACGTGTTCCCACTTGTCACATGTAGGGCAGCCCATTCATTTCAATGTGGCAGCATGTTGGGAAAGCAAACAATTCTGTGCATGTTTCCAACATGTATAAATGTGAAGTTAGCCTCACTCATGTGCCAGACACAGATTATTCCCAGCACATGACTGGGTATTGAGAATGGAAACAGTTTCCATCACTTTTCTACCCCTTTAGTAAATCAATACCAAGAAGTTGCTGATCTAGAACAATTATTCATGTCCAAGAAGACCTTTTGGTAATTTTACAAGCCTGCATGAATAAATACCTGACATTTCATTTTACAGTATAATTTTTAGAAAAATAAATTATACCTTTTATAATTAAAAAGCAGATATTATGCTCCAGGAAAGTGGCTTTGCTACGGATGCTGTCATCCCTCTGCTACAGGCATGAGGAAGCATTTATGGTCAGATGTACACATTATTTAACCTGCATGCACTTAACATGAAAAAATATATCTCATAATCTGTCTAACATGCCTGGCTCTGACTTTCTCTAGGTTACTGGCTGACTGAGTAGTTAAAGTTCTACTAAGCCCAGGACCCTGCATTCACTATATCTGGTCTCCCACGGTACGCAGAACATGGAAATGCAAATGCAATTATTTTAGTAAATACAAATTTCTAAATACCTTTCCCATCAGCAGTATGTTGCAGTCTTGTGACTTATATCAGTGTCCATCTGAGCACTAGTTAAAGCTTGTAGAAGGAGTTTTCATACTGCTCTGACTGTCCTATGAGGCTGCATGACCCCTGACTCTCTGTCTGGACAGTGCTGATCACAAGCACCCTTCCAAAGATAAAAAAAAACTCTCTAGCCATACACACTAAACTGAGCATGTGCAGAGTAAGCTCTGTACCATTAGCAGATGGATTGGGGACAGTAGAAGAAGGGGAGGATCAGAAAAGACAGGATCAAACAGCCTTTTTACACAATGTGGAGGATTGACCCCTTAGATTCCACAGTGAGTATAACATGAACGCGTTACTGCATTTACAAACTAATTTTACTGTTGTGGGTTTAGTAACACTTTAAAGCAGTGCTGCAACCATAAAAAAGGTTGGCAATGGTAGTTGCCATGTTTGTATCCTGGCTCCATTTACGAAGCTATGCATGGCACCCTCATACTGTGTCCTCCAAAATGTAGCATGAATGAAGATTATGTGGCCTCTTCAAAGCTGTTGTGGCTGGTGGGTTAGTTTGGGTGAGCGATCACCACAGAAGTACCTAGAAAATTTTAAAATCTGGAAGGTAACTAAGTCTACCTACATGGGCAAGAAACTAAAATATCAGTATTGAGTAGACTTACCCTTTAAGTATGATAACTTTTTTGCTGAAAGTTTACCCAAAAACCATATAAAAGCTTTTTGTATTAATTATATGTCCATAATATGTTTTTATAAACATTGTATATCTACATTTCATATAAATTTATATAACAATTCTCTTAAATAATATTAAATATATAAATCATAGGTTCTATAATAAATTCTCAGAGATCTTATGACGGTTCTTCAAAAAGATTTCACACTCTTTTTTTTTACTCTATTAAATATATAAAAAATGTGGAAACTTTTTGATGACCCCTCGTACATACAGTGTACATTATCAGCCACAGTACAAGGACAGAACGTTGAGCAGCAGCCCTCACGGATCAACCTCCTTGGGAGTTTGTCAGAGCTGATGCTCATAGTCAGTATCGTTGTTCAGTTGAACTGTTGGGCAGAAGATCATACCTGCCATTGTAGATGACAGCTCCAGGAGGGTAACAGATGACATCAGGCTCTACAGGATTGAGAGGGACCATGCCATGTCCCTGCTCATCTTGCTCTGGTTTGGTGGTGGCTGTGAATGGTCGCATGTTAGTCAGAGAAGGGGAGGTCATCCTCCAAAAGAGGTTCTTCAATGCTTTGCGGAACTCTCTACGCATTAAGCAATACAGAATGGGATTTAGGCAACTGTTGGAGTGAGCCAAGCAAACAGTGATGGGGAAAATATAAGCCTGAGTGGTAAAGTACTCATAGCTAAATTGCACGACATTCAGTTTGATAAGGATCCCCCAGGTTGTCAAGGCTTGGTTTGGAAGCCAACATAAGAAGAAGGACAGTACAACAATAGTCACAGATTTAGTGACTTTGGACCTCCTCTTGGTGCTTGAGCTGCTCACGTTTCTATCAGTGATGAAACGAACCAAGAGAAGGTAACAAATGGTGATGATGAATAAGGGGATGACAAACCCCAGCAGAACCTTCTGAGCATGATAGAGTCCCAGCCAGAACTGAGCATTACCATTGTTCACTGGAAACTTGACCAAACAGAGGACCTCACTGGAGACAGTGGCCGTGGTAGAGAAAATAGCGTGCGGCAAAGATGCTACAATGGCAGAAACCCAGATAAGGACACTTACCCACTTGGCAGAGCAGCTTATAGGTCTTCGTTTAGACTTAAGGGCAGAAGCTACCGAGTAGTACCTGGCCACACTCATGGCTGTGAGAAAGAAGACACTAGCATACATGTTCATGGCAGTAACATAGGACACTATTTTACACATGGCTTTGCCAAAGAGCCAGCTAAAATCCAAAGCATTCTCTACAGCCCAGAAAGGCAGTGTCAGCACAAACTGGAAATCTGTCACTGCCAGGCTGGTCACAAACAGGTTGATGGAGGACTTTTTCCAGCCTTGTTTGGTCTTCATGAGGTACAGTACCAGCACATTTCCCACCAGTCCCAGGGCACAAACCACAGAGTACACTATGGAGATCATAATCCTCACGATGGCAGAGCTGTCTCCTACTTTGTCTGATTTCTCAAAGTTGAAACCTCTCAGGAGGTCCTGTAGGGTCTCATTGGTCCTGTTAAGCTGTTTCTCTTCAAAGAAGAGTGGAAACATCCCCAGAAGATCACTCTGCTCTGCTTCCTGCATGATGGTTGCTATAGAACACGAGGTGAGGTTACATCTGACCCCCATGCCATGATAGTAAACTCGGTCTCCTCAGAGGCATCCAGCAACTGTCAAAAAGCCAGAGCAGATATCATCAGTCTATAGAGGAGATGCAGAAAACAAAACAATTGCAAATTATTTAATTTAAAGCAGTCTTACTTATTACAGGCACTTATTTAGCACCTTTACATATACAGTATATTGTACATTCACACCAGTCCATGCCCTCGAAGCACTTACTGTACAATCTAAGGTCCCATACTCAGATTCACTGACTCATGTCTTTGGAGTGTGGGATGATACCAGAGGAAATCCACACAGACACAGGCAGAACGTGTAAACTCCATGCAGGTAATGCCATGGTTGAAATTCTAACCAATGACCCTACTGCTGCTAGACAAAAGTGCTAATTACATAGCCACTGTGCTATACCAAAAAAACAAAAAATGTACTATATTGCAGCCTACCAATCCCTAAATGTGGTGGTTGCATTAGTTTTTTTTTTTTTTATAAGATTTTTTCTTCAATTTTACCTGTGATCTGGTCAGTAACATAATTCCTGTCTCAGGGTGGCTCCAAACTGGATGGAGGAGCTTTGGAGACACCCTCAGACAACAGCATTGAAAATCTTCAAAGAGGGTATTGTTAGATGGACTACAAGATTTAGTTTGACTTGACAAACACATTGAAGCCAAACTCCAGCTAACACTCCTCTTTTCCTATTGGGATACAGGTTTTACTTAAATGAATAAAAGCTGACAATTGTAAGCACTCCTACCAATGATAGATGGTGTCTTTCAACCCCTTAACTGCCACTTTTGCTGGACAGCTTGGTCAGTTAAATAAATTAAATACCGGATTTACTGGCCAGATTACCAGGTGAAAATAAAGAAAAAAAGCCCCACATCTAAGAATTGGTAAGCAGCATTGTATACATGTTTGTTTTTGAGTTCAATACCTCTTTTTAATTTAAAGACGATAGAAAGATAGATAGATAGATAGATAGATAGATAGATAGATAGATAGATAGATAGATAGATAGGCAATGATAGACCCAGATAGAGATAGATAAATGAATAGATAGATAGATAGACAGATAGATAGATAGATAGATAGATAGATAGATAGATAGATAGATAGATAGATAGATAGGCAGGCAATGATAGATAGACCCAGATAGAGATAGATAAATGGATAGATAGATAGATAGATAGATAGATAGATAGATAGAAAGATAGATACAAATGGATAGACAAATGGATAGTCAATGATAGACCCAGATAGAGATAGATATATAAATAGATAGATAGACAAATGGAAAGTCCATGATAGATCCAGATAGAGGTAGATAGATAGATAGATAGATAGATAGATAGATAGATAGATAGATAGATAGATAGATAGAAAGGCAATGATAGACCCAGATAGAGATAGATAGATAAATGAATAGATAGATAGATAGATAGATAGATAGATAGATAGATAGATAGACAAGTGGAAAGGCAATGATAGACCCAGATAGAGATAGATAGATAGATAGATAGATAGATAGATAGATAGATAGATAGATAGAAAGGCAATGATAGATAGACCCAGATAGAGATAGAAAAATGGATATAGATAGATAGATAGATAGATAGATAGGCAATGATAGATAAATAGATAGATAGATAGATAGATAGATAGATAGATAGATAGATAGATAGATAGATACAGTCCAAACTGTCAATAACCTCAGAATAATGTCAGACTGAAGTTGTTATATTCATATTAATTTAATATCAAATCTCTTTCTCTTGAGTTAATCCAGCAGGATATGATGAGTGCTGTAAAAAGTCCTAAATCAAGCAAAATACTTACTTTATAGATCAGTCTGCTTCCCCATAATTTTTGCCTCCACACTGATATTAATCAGAGTCACCTGCCTTTGGATCTCCTGGTTCTGCAGACTTCAGACAGTCCAATGTGCTCAGTACTTCAACTTCAACCTGTCCTTAATTACTAAATACACCCAGACTTAGATAGATAGGTTGAACCCTTCATGTTGATATATCTGGCTTCTGAAACTTTGATGCAGTCCAAGACGACCAAAGCTGCTCGAATCACCTAAACATCAAAGTAATGGCTTTTAGAGACAGTCAGTGCTCCTATAAGTAAAATCCAAAGGAGGGTGCTTAGGACTGGCACTAGGTAGCTTCACATCCCCTGCTGCTGCAGGCTGAAGACAGTCCAATCTGAAAGAGGACTACTCATTCTGCCTTCAATCACTGCATGGATATTAGAGTTGCATTGAATCAGAATTGTCTACTTTCAAATCCTCAGCTTCTGTAAGCTTCAGACAGTCCATTGTACTGCAACCATCTTCCAAAACTCAAAGTGTCTGAAGACCAGTGCTGGTAAGTAATGGCAGGATCAAGATTATACCTACAACGCAGTTAGTTTGAAATGTCCTTCAAAGAACCCAAGGCATAAGAAGCTTGAAGGTTCTGAGAAGTCAGTCTGTTCTGTGCTCCCATGATAGTAGATCTGATGCTGGGAAGTCAGTCTGTTCTGTGCTCCCATGTTAGTAGATCTGATGCTGGGAAGTCAGTCTGCTCTGTGATCCCATGTTAGTAGATCTGATGCTGGGAAGTCTGTCTGTTCTGTGCTCCCATGTTAGTAGATCTGATGCTGGGAAGTCAGTCTGCTCTGTGCTCCCATGTTAGTAGATCTGATGCTGGGAAGTCAGTCTGCTCTGTGCTCCCATGTTAGTAGATCTGATGCTGGGAAGTCAGTCTGTTCTGTGCTCCCATGTTTAGTAGATCTGATGCTGGGAAGTCAGTCTGTTCTGTGCTCCCATGTTTAGAGTAGATTTGGAAAGATCCTGGTCCTCTGAGCTTCAAATACTCTACAGGATCAGCCTTCAGCAAGCTGGTGTGTGCCCTTGTAGAGCTCAGCAGTGCAGGCAGAGTGCAGCATGGGTCTGTACACTTCTGTGCATACAGGTCCTGAGTTGTGCATGCCTCCAACTTATATTTCACACTGAGCCCTCGTCATTTATCCCTTCTATTGAACTGGGGCATGCGCAGAGCACACAGGGAGCTATCCTTGCTGCTGACTGTAGCTATCAATGAATCCCAATGACAGCAGCTGCTGTCCAAGGTGCTGAAATACAAAAAGCTGTAGAGGATGCACCTTGTCCTTGCTGCTTCCAACATTTATCTGAGCAAGAAAATCATGCAAACAGAATAAATGAATCAACTTCTTTCCTCTAAACCCACACTATAATTAAAAGTAGCAAAATCTGAATCTGCCATCATAAGAAATATTCTAACTGCTTGGCAGCCATGTCCTGACAACTTATGTCACACACAGAGATCCATTGGAAGACAGGTGTGAAAGCTCTGTTTGGTGAGTAACCCATTTATGTGTTGAGAACAGTCAAAATATTTTTTAAAGCATTTGCAAATGAGTCACAGGGTTATTTTTAGTGTTGGGGAAAACAGACTTTAAAATGCCAATGTCATGCTTAAAATAACCAGTAGGGGGCAGTAGGGTCTCAAGTTCCCTATATCATAACCTTTTTTAAAATAGGAAACAATCTAGGAATTTTCAGAATAAAAACACCAGCTGTACCTGCATTTGTGTTTGATCAGCGAAAGTTTTTTTGTTCTATTTACTTTTTAATTATTTTTTAGAGCTTCACATCCAGAGTGGCCAATTATATCCCTTTCCAAGTAAACAAAGCATGCAAAAGCTGAAAAAGAGAATGGCATACCATCAGAGTGGAATGGTTGGAAGGCAATCCTCAAAGCTTTAAGAATATCTGGCTAAGAGCAGAGTGAGTATTTTACAAAATTTTAATTTTGAAACAATGTTTTTTTCTTATAAAATAGAGGATGCTTGTTACATTAAAAAAGAGTCTTTTGTGTTCAGAATCTTTCTTATAGTTCACTAAGAAATGTAAAATTGTATTAAACCCAAAACCAAAAATGTATTATATACACTTAAGCTCAGGAATATTTTACCCCCTATATGACCAGAGCATTTTTTGCTATTCGGCAATGCGCTACTTTAACTGGTGATTGCTCTGTCATGCAAATGCTGTACCCAAATGAAATGTATATCATTTTTTTTTCACACAAATAGAGCTTTCTTTTGGTGGTATTTGATCACCACTGAGTTTCCTATTACATAAACAAAAATTTTGGAAATAAAAACACAATATGTTCTACTTTCTGCTGTAAAACATATCCAGAAAAAATAAAAAGAAATCTAATTTCTTCATAAATTGACACCAAAATGTATTCTGCTACAGGTCTTTGGTGAAACAAAAATCCCAATAAGGGTACATTCATTGGTATGTGTGGAAGTTATAGCACCTACAAATAATGGTAGATACCGGGTGTCGGCAACCCGCGGCTCCGGAGCCGCATGCGGCTCTTTTTCACCTTTCCTGCGGCTCCGGAGCACACTGCCCACCAGGTGACAGGCAATAGGATCGGCAAGCCGCGGCTCTTTTAATGCAGCTCTTCTGTGTGCCGGGCGCCCGCTGGCAAACATTGGCTGTTAGGATGTAGGCGGGGCAGCGTGACGAACTCCTCTCCTCTCACAGTCCGCCCTGAAGACCAGAACGGCGCGGGAACACAGCGAGAGGAGCGCGTGGAGCAAAGGTAAGTGAATTGACACAATATGGGGAATGAATTACTATAGGGGGGATGAATTACTATATGGGGGATGAATTACTATATGGGGGATGAATTAGTATGGGGGATGAATTACTATATGGGGGATGAATTACTATGGGGGATTAATTACTATGGGGGATGAATTACTATGGGGGATGAATTACTATATGGGGGATGAATTAGTATGGGGGATGAATTAGTATGGGGGATGAATTACTATATGGGGGATGAATTACTATGGGGGATGAATTACTATGGGGGATGAATTATTATATGGGGGATGAATTACTATATGGGGGATGAATTACTATATGGGGGATGAATTACTATGGGGGATGAATTACTATATGAGGGATTAAT